GGCAGTGGGAACTACAAAGAAAATGCTGGTATGGTTTCTGCAGATCTGAGGAAGGGTGGAGGACACTCTAATTTAGTTATGGAGAAAGGCTCAAGAAATAAATGGCACCTGTAAGCTTTTAAGCAAAGGGCTGTATTGAAACAGAGTGAATAAAAACTATCAAAATCTGCCTCTACAAAATTCTAAGAAAAATCATGTGCTCATTATAATGTGTTTAGCAGTAGGAAATCAATGATTTGGCCATTCTTCTCCCTCCTCCAATCAGTTAATTGGCTTAGCAAATGATGGCTTGATTGCTGACATCTAATAAAGGCAGCAAGGAACTAGCAGTCTGTTTTCCACATGGTATCTACTGCTGGCTGTACACTATAGATTTGTAAGACTTACCCTTCCTACAGCTGAGAACTATATGGAGCCCATCTGCCCATCCATCCATCTCCCGAACCCATTCAGTTATGTGAATTTTGATTCCTAAACTTCTTAGAAGAAACTCAATTGGAAGTCCACACATCTAGAAAATGTCAAGTTTGAGAAAGATTGCCCTAAACAAGTAGTCCTTGATTTATGACCATAATTTAGTCCAAAATGTTTATTACTAAGCGAGATGTTTCTTAAGGGACTTTTGCCCCATTTTACAACCTTTCTTGCCACAGTTGTTAAGTGAATCACTGCAGTTGTTAATAACAGGGTTGTTAAGTGAATCTGGCTTCCCCCTTGACTTTGCTTGTCAGAAGGTTGTAAAAGGGGAACACATGACCCCCAGGACACTGCAACCGTCATAAATATGAAACAGCATCTGAATTTTGATCACATGACCATGAGGATGCTGTAGTGATTGTAAGTGTGAAAGACGGTCATAAGTCACTTTTTTCAGTGCCCTTGTAACTTCAAAAGGTCACTAAATGAACTGTTGTAAATCAAGGACTACCTGTACACACAATCAAGACAGACTGGCAGAGAAGATATAAACATCTCTTGAATCATGACACTGACACTGATGTCTGAAGCATTTATTTCCAAAGTGGGAATGATAAATGCCTTGTAATCTGTTTACATGCATATGTGAAAATTGAAGATTTCAAAATAAACATCAATCATCTCACTACATAACTGACTGATGGTTACCACCAAGAGTTCTATCTGATAATTCAACCAGCAAAGTTAAACGTTCCATTAGAATGGCTCCCAAGCCTGCCTTTTTCAAAAACATTTTGTTCCTTCACAAATAAGATGTTTTTAATGCTATGCCTATGAAATGACATTTGAAGAGCCCATTTTCAAAAAGCCACTGTTATTTTTTATCAGTTCATCAGTGATTTAAATCACTCCATCTTAGCCCCCAGTTGAAGTCAGGAAATCTGTGATCTTTGTTAGTTTACCACAACTCAAGAATTTTTTTTCTGCTTTAGATCATGAGTTGGAATGATCTTATTAATTATAAAATAGCACCAAGGTCAACATGTAAGTAATAGGTATCCATGCATTCAATAACAGTACGTTTTCACATTTTTTCAGGCGATAGAACATGTTAGGTGATTTCCTGCTAGACAGGTAAAACAATATTCTCTGAACCCCAGATCCAGAGTTTAAAAACCCTAATAAAAGAAAAATGGATGTGTTCAAATAAACTTTTTACATTTTCTTTTCCTTTTGTTGTTGGTTGCTCTTGGAGTCTCATGAAATCCCATCGAATTCTCATGGAATCTTGAGATTTTTGGAACACAATTTGACAAACGCAGAACCATTTTCCACTATTGTGGAAAATTTGGAACATGCTGAATAAAATATTTTGAAAAACAAGGCAGCCATTGTGGTCATTTCTACCAACTAGCAGAGTTGAAAATGATTTTGGATCATTTACCCTATGGGTCATTCATTTCCCCATATTTAGGGAACATTCAGTGCTCCCAAGTCAGGCAAAAGTGCCAAAAAATGGGAAGATACAGTATATTCCTCTGATATTGAGTCAAAGATTACGGTACCTTATTTCTAGGAAATGGTTCTTTGATCCTTTTTCTCCTAAATTCATACTATAAAGTAATCTAGATCTCGGAAAGAGAACCAGTTTGGTATAATGGTTAAAGCCGCAGGCTATAAACTAGGAGACATGAGTTCTAGTTCCACCTTAGGCCCAAAGACAGCTGGGTGACTTTGGGCTAATCACTCCCCCTCTGCCCTCCCACTTTCAAGATCTTGCTAGGAAAACTTCAGGGATTTGTCCAGGCAATTGCCAGGAGTCAACATTGACTTGAAAGCACTAAATACATATATTCTTATCATCAAAACAGTGGTGGGTTTCTACCGGTTCTCCCCGGTTTGGGCGAACCAGTAGTAGCTGCGGCGGCTGGCTCCGCCCACCCACCCAGCATTATCATGGATGCTCTGTGCATGTGCAGAAGCACCACGCACAATTGTGCGCTCCCAATTCCAAAGCAGTAGTGAAGGTAAGTGGAAACCACTACTGCATCGAAGGTATATTTTTATCCTTTTCTATTTTAAAGCACAAATATAATTTGCCTAGTATGTATTACTTTGTCAGTACAGACAATTATAACATCTACTGACATCCCCATTTAGATCTGGGACATTTTTAGCCCCCAAAACATTAACGTACCGCAAGCAATTATTAATGTGATTCGGACACCCTGAAATTGCGCTTCATAAATTTAAGTTAGTGATTAATCAATTTGATATGCAAGCTTTAATGTTTGAATGGAATAAAGAATTAGAGATTTTCTACTTTGTCCAGACAATAGGAAGAGGTATTAATGCCAAACATTTCAGTAGATCTTATGTCTTATTCAACAAAAATATATATTTTAGACACGTTTCGCTTAAATAGAAAAGGCCTGAGAAAATCTTAATGCAGTTGGAGATATAATGAGATTAACACTTCATTTAAACTTGTTTTTGTTCCTTTTAAGGAAAAAGTTATTACATGGATTAATTCATCTGTGAGAATATCCTTAGAAGTTTCTATTATTTCTATCAACTGCAAATTGACTTCTGGGCAAAGAAAATTGATTTCCTGTGTCTTATATTATAGCTATTAAAAAAATGTTATTTTCTCAATACTGAAAGAAAACCATAAGGCTCCAGCTACTTAATGGCTTTCAGAAGTGATGTTAGCAACATATGAATAAATTGCCTACAAAGCTAAATTAGTGATTATAATGAAATATGACTATTATTTATTGAAATGTTTATGTAAAAATTTCATATATGTTGTGTGTGAATGAATGAATGTTTCCAGAACAAAAATAATGCAAAAAGAAATAATAAGCACAAGATAAGAAAAAAGAAGAGAAAACCTAGTTCATATGTTTAACATTCATTACACTTATATTTTTTCTGCTCTTCCAAAACATTATTGATTCCATCACATCTAGACACAACTCTCACTTTCCAGTTAACAAAGCGGGAAGAAAGACACTCCTGTACAAAGCTGTTTTTACTTCTTCCAGAAATATTAAATCCTTAAAATCAGACCTCATACTGAGTGTCACAGCTAATATGTAAAAAAGAGAAGGCATCAATCAGACACATCACACTTAGAACAAAAACCTATAAACCCCATTATAACTTGGTATACTGTGTGAATTGAACAACTGTAGTTTGTAACCCATAGCTTCTGATTGTTATGGCTTGTCAACAAACAATGATTGAGCAAAACTACCGCTTGGTGAAATAATTCTCAAAGTTTATAATATTGCAACTTCCACAAATAATAACTGAATTAGTATCTATCCCTTCTCTCCAATAATAACCTACATTCTTTCAGCAACAAGGCTCTTTTGAATACTTCAAAAAGTTTGGGTACTCTTGCCTCACATAATCTGATATGATCTATTCCTACATGAATACAAGCAAATTTTTCAAATTTCTACTATTTAGCAAAAATTGCTACTTGTTCTTCGCTTCCAAACTAGGACCACAGTTCTTAAGAAGTTATCCTCTGAATAGGGTTTGTGGCATTAAAGTTATCGTTTGAACTTAATATGATGTGACTTGTCCAATCCTGTCTTAAGGAATTTCTTTAAGTAGTCAATGACATTGGTGATGATGGGGAATCTGAACATGAATGATAACTTCAGGGGTCCCCACTGGGTGCCAAAAGTGAGTGAACATTTCGGCCAACCATATTCTAAAAGGAGAAAACCTCCATGTAATATTCCAAAAATTACAAATACTTTCTGAAAGTTCTCTTTTGCTTTGAAGGGCAATGAAAATCAGTGCCTTTATAATATCCACAGTTAATTTTTGTCCCAGATACCTCCCTCCCTCCCTCCCTCTCTTTCTCTCACACACGAGAAGAGAAGAGAAGAGAAGAGAAGAGAAGAGCAGAGCAGAGCAGAGCAGAGCAGAGCACTTTTAAACTATTGTAAATAATTTGAAACAGGTATACAGTGAAGAATGTAAGATTTAGTATTGATTATGATTAAGGTTGATAATTATATGATGACTTGAGTCTATGAGGAAACCCAATCAATACCTTCTGTGATTTCTATATTAGAAGAACAACTAACAGCCTTATGCTCTTTTTAAAGTCTAATCAATATTTTATGGATCAAGCCTTAGCAAATTGCAGTCCACTTATTTGAGTTCATGGGATATTATGCTTACTGAAATACAATAGGAATAGCTTCTACAGTACATACTCACATAGTAATAAGATTTCAGAATATTCCATGATTATTATGAAAAAATTGTGGTTCAGAATGCTTCTTCTCTGATAAATTTGTTAGACATTAAAGATGCCATAAGGGAATTATAGAGTTGACTATATTAGAATAACTTAGCCCATAACATAACCACTGTAGAAGCTGAAGATGGGAATAAAGAACATTCTGTGTTTACACTTTAAACATATTGTGACTTTTAAATTTTCACCCAGGCCAAATACTTGTCTCACATAGTAGATCTAGAGCAATAAATATTTGTATACCTTCCAATTTATTCAGAGTAGAATGGTATATATATTTCAAAACATGCAAACTCACCATTATCTTGACTTTTCACCTTGTCGCCTAAGAGGAAGGAGAAGGAGAAGAGCATTAAACAACGGGTAGGGGAAACATGTATTAATTTGTTTCTACTGCTCGTGTCCCATCCAGAACTTACAAAATAAGAGGATCAACAGCAAAAGGCAATACATCTCGTAATCGGAAAGCGAACATGAAACTCCAGCATAAAGAAATGATCATGAGTTCCAATAGTTCTCTCCTTTAAGGACTTTATCTTTTCTAAAAAACAAAACTCTGGCAGCACAAAAGTCCCAATGGAAGATAATGGGGCAGATGTGTTTTCAGCAACCAAGTACTACAAACTGGCAAGATATTGTTCAAGCGTTCATTCCCATTATTGGAACTGGAAGTGGCAAACAATACAGATCAGTCTCCAGCAAACAGACAGGAAATGACTGGCCTTTCCGTAAAGCTTTTGTTAACACATTTGCTTTGTCCAATTTTCTTAAAGTACACTGAAAACCAGAAGTCCCAATGATATTTTTTCAGTGTGTTTTAAAATAATTTTGAATGGCTACTTTAAAGTGTATGAAAGTCATTCTTTAAGTGTGCTTTTACAGAGCCAGACATACAGACTTATGGTTGGTTTTACAAAGGTAGCAAGTTTTTACTCATGAACGTTTTTCTTTCTCTCTCTCTCTCTCTCTCTCTCTCTCTCTCTCTCTCCTTCCTTCCTTTCCTTCCTTCCTTCTTTCTTTCTTTCTTTTCCTTCCTTCCTTCTTTCTTTCTTTCCTTCCTTTCCTTCCTTCCTTCTTTCTTTCTTTTTTTTCTTTCTTTTCTTTCTTTCTTTTCCTTCCTTCTTTCCTTCCTTTCTTTCCTTAGTTCTTTCTTTCTTTCTTTTTTTCCTTCCTTTCTTTCCTTCTTTCCTTTCTCTTCTTCTTTCTTTCTTTCTTTCTTTCTTTCTTTCTTTCTTTCTTTTCTTTCTATGGCGAAGCTATTGAGCAAGTGTACACTGTCTTGAACACAGCATCCATTTTTCGTACAAATAATCATTTCTAGATGTTGGTGCCTATTCAGGAAAATCTGTATTGGCTGCAAGGATGACTGTGGATAATTGGTTTAAATGAGGATCTGTTGCTCTGGTTGTGGTTGTAGTTCTGGTACTAACTATGAAAGCTGGAAATGGTTAGGTCTTGCCACTCTAGCTATGAAACTCTCCAGGGGCACATTTGCAGTAGAGTCAAAATCTCATTTTGCTACCCTTATTGAGTCACCCGGAGGACTAAAAAATGAGAATAAAGTAAAACAAAATAACAGACTCTTAGCAAGCAGAAGGATGTTGGAATAGCACATTCTTTACTACCAACATCGACTTACTGCATAAAGGATTATAAAGCATCTCAGCTCTTTTCCGTCTGAGATTATCACATGAGCTATTTCGAAGATCTCAGGCATATAGTATAGATGCCTAGCCACATTACATTTAATGTGGCATTGCACACTTATAAGGAGGATTTAAACCTGGGATAGGTTTATTCATTGTTTCATTCCAATGATAATTTACATATCAATGGAGGTTTTACAAATGAAACAGACCATCCCTAAATGGCTAGACCTTCTAAACCTGTTCATTTTCAATCTTCATGGTTTCTGCTGCCTGTGCTGATGAGAACTGCGGAGATTGTGTTAAATCCAAAACAACATGAAGACTCTGGTTTGGGCAAGGTTGCCGTTAAATGAACTCTCCCTTTCCCATCCTCAGCGCACACTTGTGAACTGGGCTAATGACCGTGGAACATTTAAATGAGGATCCATATCAGTGGAAAGGAAAACAGATTTGGCTTTTGAGGTCCGTGGCAAAAGAATTCATAGGATTTTAAACTTTTTAAGCAAGCGCAATCCCAGGAACTTTCCTTTGTGAGCATTTCCCTTCGGCCTCTCCCACACCCAGTCCATGGCCTGAATCAGAATCTGTTTGTTTTAGCTGAAGTCACTTTTTCCACAGGCTCTCCCTGCCGATGAGGGTCTGTGTGCTGTCATTCCTTAGCTATTCAACTGTCACTTGTGAGCACTTGCGGTCCAAAACTTATTTTAATTTAAAGAAATAAAAAAGAACAGCATTTTTAAAAATGAAAGGGAAATACATGTTCGAAGAAAAATGCAGAGAAGAAGAAAAATTAAATGCCTGCACACCAATATTTTATTTCTGGTGCATGTACACCCACACCCCTGACCCCCCCTCCCCCATTGCCCATAAAACTGATATACTTGAATTTTTGTTGGTTTTGTTTTGGATTCATAAGTTAAAGAATTTAAAGTAATGTTGATGAAGATTCATTATGTAAAGTAATGGAAATTACCCACCCTTTATAATTCAACGTTCAAAAGATGGAAATACTTTAACCAGAGGAACTGAAAGTTTACAAAATGTCAGCTTTAGCTTTTTGGAAAGTAGCCAATAAAGCAGTCTGAAGATTTGGTTGAAAGGTTTGGAGCAGCTGCAAATGGAAGAATCCCAGAAAGTTAACTATACAGGGCTTTCTAGGTAGTGGCACCCACCCTGTTGAAAGGTATCCTCCCAGAAATTCATACTGGTCCCACCCTTTTTCACTTGCATCAAACTTTTTATTTAACATACTTTGTTTTCCTTTGATTTTTTTTTTTTAAATCTCTACACCATCCAGAGTTGCTATGGAGTTAGGTGGCCTCAAATCTGAATAAGTGCACAAATAAACAAACAACATTTTGGAAGTTGACACTGCTTGTTTCCAGCATAATCTGACACTCTGAGGTTTGGAAAATGGAGCATCAAAGAATCAGGCTTGACATTCATATGGAAAAAGAAGCTTTAGCATACTTCAAGGGGGATAAAATAGGGAGCCAGTTTGGTATAGCGGATAAGGCACCGGGCTAGAAACTGGGAGAGCATGAATTCTAGTTCCACTTTAGCTGCAAAGCCAGTTGGTGATTCTGAGCCAATCCTTCTCTCTCAGCCTCATGAAGAAGGCAAATTACTTCTAAAACGTTCCCAATAAAACTGCATACTTGTCTATGTAGCTGGATTTAAGATGCCACAAAAGCTAAAAAGAAAAAGGTGAGGGAGGGATAATTTAGTGAAATGTATGTGGATTTCTTTAACTTTTTGCAAGAGAAAGGGATATTATTAAGTGTAAAAGTCAGTAAATACTCTCTTACATCAAGCTCAAAGCTTGGTGACTTTATGACCATGGCTCTGCTATTTTCTTGGCAACCATGTGAAAATAGTTGGCTCCTGCTTTTCCTTAAAATGTTTTTCAACTTCCTAGATTAAGGCCAGAGTCCTAAAATTTCCTGGGATCTCCTATCTCACAGAGGTGGTATTCAGCAGGTTCTGACCAGTTCTGGAGAACTGGTAGAGGAAATTTTGACTAGTTCAGAGAACTGGTAAATACCACCTCTGACTGGCCCTGCCCCAATCTATTCTCTGCCTCCCAAGTTCCAGCTGATCGGGAGGAAATGGAGATTTTGCAGCAACCTTCCCCTGGAATGGGGAGGGAATGGAGATTTTATGGTATCCTTCCCCTGCCACGCCCAAGCCATGCCATGCCCACGATGTCATGCCCACAGAACCGGTAGTAAAAAAATTTGAATCCCACCACAGATCTCAATAATAACCCATCTGATTCTACTTACCCTTTTGAGATCAGCCAAGGCTATCTTCAAGTATAATGAGTATTGCATGCCTTATCTCATTATATTGTAGTTGCTGTTATTTTACTGTCACCCTTACTTCCCCTCCCCTGCTTTGTTAGTCATCTTATACTGGGATAAATTACTTTGGATAAGATGGGAATGGGAAGCTGGGGGTAGCCTTCTCGGAATACAGTTGCCAGTTTCTGGATTCTTCCAGAGGTTTTGGACTGCCTCTCCCACATAATCCACTGCAGCTGGCCATGCAGACATATTTGAAAGCCCCAAGTTGCCTACTTCAAACAAATGGATAGAAAATCATTTAAACCCATCAGCAATTGTGGAGCACTATGGCCTGTTCCCCTCCCCTGTTCCCCTTGTATATTTCAAAGCAAACATGTATTAGAGAATACTGTACTGTAGCTCCACAATAACTTCTTGACAACCAAACTGACCTTATAACTTTCTCTGAACAATCCTACTAATTTGGGGCAGAGGTGGGTTTCAGCAGCTTCTGACCAGTTCTGGAGAACCGGTAGTGGAAATTTTGAGTAGTTCGGAGGACTGGTAGTAAAAATTCTGACTGGCCAAGCCCCCATCTATTCTCTGTCTCCCAAATCCCAGCTGATTGGGAGGAAATGGGGATTTTGCAGTAACCTTCCCCTGGATTGGGGAGGGAATGGAGATTTTAGTTTCCTTCCCCTGGAATGGGATGGGAATGGAGATTTTACAGTATCCTTCTTCCGCCACGCCCACCAAGCCATGCCATGCCCACCAAGCCACACCCACAGAACCGGTAGTAAAAAATTTTGAAACCCACCACTGATTTGGGGGAAATGAAAAACATCAAAACATGTTTGCATGCATCTGCAGGTGACTTAATTTATTTATTTCTGCAATACTTTCTCAATTTCTGAGGAAAAGCAGACATCATGGAAGTAAATCTATCATTTATATTCATCTAGTTTTTTATTTATACCTTCTATTATATGTGCCGCCTATAAAGAATAAATTTTCTGGGAAGTAGAAAAAATAAAAATAAAAAGAAGTCAAAGCACAATCGGAACAAGAATAGAATTGTAAGGCTATAGATCCCTCAGCCGAGTGGGGTGACCCTGTTCTCCATGATCCCCTCCCTAATGGTTATGCTTTTCTTGCATTTCTGCACTAGAAGAAGCCCAATTAATTTTTAGCACGGTGGAGAAATTTATACTCCAAAGGATGAGAAGAATTGAGTTTTGGAGAAGGACACAAGCCTGGTTTACAAACTCAGAAGTGCTTTTTATAGTTAGTTTTATATATGTCCGTGTATGTGGTGCGTGTGTGTGTGTGTGTGTGTGTGTGTGTGTGTTTGTGTATAGTAAAAAGTATCTATCCGGAGTAAGCCACAGTGTACATTAGACTTTGTTGGTATAAATCAAGGAAGTTGAAGAAGGCACAATCTTTTGTTCTCCCAGCTTTCCGTATTTATATAAGGACTCCTTTGTTTTCTTCTACTCAATGGGAAGCATTTTTCCCAAGCTTATAACTTCAGGTGTAATCTCTGCTGCAGGCTTTATGTTATATTCATTCCCGTGGCAGGAAGCAGGAAGGAAATATTCTTCTGTGTAACAAGACCCAGCAAGTATTAAACCCACCCTTTTATTAATGGGAAGGGGGCACAAATACTGTTGCCGTAGCAACAAATGACCAGGAAGTAACTGGCAAATTTATGAGTAA